GGTGTCATGAAATAGACCCATGGATACAGTCTGTGGATATATTTTTTTTAACGTGYGATCACAAAGATAATGTGAGTATAGAAGTCCTACATACTTTACATAATGTGAAAGCCTTCTGTTTAGTTTGATCATATTGATCATATTGAACACAAATTGAAATACGAAGGAAAATAAAACAAATTTTCTTACCAGGAAAGAAGCTCGTAAAAGCGAGAATCAGGAGAGCACTTGCAATCTTGCTATCCATGACTGCCCTCCGTGCCTTCTTACTGTGAACTGAAAACAAACTTGACTCTGTCTCCAGACCCACATGGGACTGCTGACAGTTATACTCTGAAATTTGTTTCTCAAGCAAATGCACATGCAAAGGGAATTACTTCTTGCTCTTGTCTTTTTGCACAACCAAACAAATAATGGGGAAATCTGAGGTGGAACAGACTGTGCTTCCACACCTGTTACCTGGCCCGATGTCRGAGGCACTGTGCTTACTTTGACTTTTTCTTGCTGCCAGGAAAACAGGGAAAACCTCAGGGAGAATGAGCAGTGAGAAAGATGTTAAGCTTTGCTTCTCATTAGCATTTCTAGCTCACTGCTTGATTCATTCTGTCTGAGTGCTGAAATACAATAAAGAATCAAGTTGCTAGTAGACAATTACTAGAAATCTAATTGATTAAATTGCAATTAATTGAAAATAAAAAGCATTAGTTGGATAGGATGAGGAAGCAAGAGGATTATTAGACTAAGATAATGATGTTCAGTAATGTCTTACACCTAGTTAAGCCTATGTCAGGCGTTCAGTGTTGTGGGTCTTCTGTCTTTGCATGATCAGGGTATCCAGATCAGAGTATCCAGATGTTAGGACCACYTTGCAGTTAGATGTTGATCCAACACAGAGGAGTGAGCCATTTCTGCCTGGAAAACTTGGAACCATATGTTAGGCAAGAGAAAACAGGCTTCTGTTTATAATAATAGACTAAATAAGGCTTCAATCTGGTGTTGAGCAACATCAAGAGGTCCTCCAGGATATGTGATTATTAGCATGCTCCTTGGCACAGTTCTGGTCCATGCCACATACCATGACCCCAGCACTTTCGGGGCACATTGTGGGTCAGAGTCTCTTCCAAGCAGTCAGTGTGGATGTGGGCTCATTGCTGTGWGGAAAAAGTAAGTTTAGCTTTATGGCCAAGAACCATGCCATGCCTTGTGTCCACAGAACAGATCTTGACTTCTTGCATTTACTCATACTGTATTAAAAAAAAAAAGTAGAAATTATGATTTTAAGAAGATGTGGCTTTTCAACACCTCTGAATAGGAGGCACCGTTGGAAAACATGCTGAACTTGATAATTTCAGACAGTAAGGAAATCAGCTGTCATTCATTTCAATGAGAACTAGTAATKCTTGGATCAAAATTGTTTGAATGAATTGAGTTGCTTGCGCGATCACACACACACACAAAAGCTGTGGAAATGCTGGAAACAGCCACCATCTTCTCATGAACCATTCTGTGCCCTTAGTCCCCCACAGTGTTGCTGTGTTCTTCTTAGTCTAATGTGATTTAATTCCCTCTTGCAAGTCCCTTTGGATTTCTGGTTAATTCGGGCATTTAAAAAATTGTTTGTGGAATTCAGTGCAAAGAGACTGTCTCTTATTATGCTTTTGCAGTTAACCCTTTTGAATGCATCTCTCTCTTTTTCCAGATCTCTTTTTCCCAAATTTTCCTTTATGTCTCTCTGATAAGAAATGCATGCATTTGCCATATGGCTGGCTACTGTCTCCTGGTATATGACTAGACCTGGTTACTACACACTGCTTTCAGTCCCAGCCCGGTCTTGCTTTCTGTTAAAATGAGTTGTTGGTGATTTTGATATGCCTCAAATATTGTGTTCAGAAAGAATTCCTGAAATGGGAGCACTCAGCTCTCTGGTGAATGTAGAAACATTTTGCATCATTATGCAAGGGAATCATAGCTCAGAAAATGGAAAGATGTATGTGGTTTTGTGTGTATGTATTGTGAAACTGGTAATTTCATGAAACGACTAACATGATGATTTTAGAAAATGAAAACTATAGACAAAAATTTTATAAAATACCTAATTACCAGTATTTGAGCTAGTAAGTCAAAATTATGAGTAAGAACATTTTTAACAATATGCATGTAGAAATTCATTTGCTTTCAAAACTATACAGTAATCATGTCAGTCTACAAATCTGAGCATATTGTCACAAATTTCTTGGAACAGTAGAAAATTTTAGCGTTTTTTTTGCGAAGTGAGTGGTTGCAGAGCTTTGTTATCCAGAAGTGTTGCAGATGCCCGGAATTGAAGATGATCTCCTTGAATTCTTGAAGGGGTAACTCTGACTGGGTGCCCCAACAGATGCATAGCAAATAGGACACTAACGGAGAAGAAGAGCAATCTTTCTCTTTTGTTGTCTATCAAAAGGGGAAATATAGTCTAAGAGAAGAAAAAAGAAACATACAAAAAGGAAACAGTTTACTAAAATTAATGTTCAGATGGAGAATGTTCTTAGGGCAGGCAGCAAATACCTCCAGCCTTGGCTACCTGAGAGGAACTGAGCACTAACAGGGAAACTCTGAATATGTCTGTCTGCCAAATAGTATCATGGTAATTTGGAAGCCACTTATTTTCTTTACTGCCAGGATATGACTGTGCCATTAATGCTAGTCATTTCATGAAAAGCTTTTAACTTCTAGGTAATTCAAGTTACAACCAAATGGAATAGCCAGTTGTATAGTAGAGTATCTGTTATTCCAGTCACTTTATGATTACACCATACTTAGTTTGTCAAGGTCGATATGTATGCATACATAGGTGTATAAGTTTATATAGCTGTCATATTGTAAATTTCACACAGTGAAATTCTATAAATTTCTTTGTATATATATGTGTGAGTCCCCCTTCTGCCTCCAGTTCTCTGTTGGTTTGGTTTTGAGCTATATCTTTGTCCAGCTTACATTCTCCCCTACCGCCTAACCTCTTATCTCTTCAAGTCTTGCAAACATGAAAAAATTGGATTTGGTATTCTTCTCAGGTGCAGAACATCTTAGCCCTGTTGCAGCCTAACTAACTGCGTTCATCTGAGGCATAAGTCAGGCAGAATAAATTCTTGACCCTGGGACAGGTTTTAAAAGTAATGAGACTTTCTCCTTTCATGGAATAGGGAATATTCAATAGTAGGAATATGCTGTCCTTAACCAATATATATATATATATATATATATATATATATATATATATATCCTTTTCTGAATGATGTGAGGCTTTCTCCTAACAATAACAACGTAAATATTGAACATTTAAGTCGTGGTATTGCAGAAGGAAAAGCTGTTTTATACCACCTCAAGAAGTTTCAAAATTCATGATTTTCTCTGTGTCCACACCTGGAAAACATTTTCTCTGTGTCCACCCCTGGAAAACATAACATCTAGTGCCACAAGATAATGTGACTTTCCAGGTGAAGARGAAGAAATAAGGAACAAGGACTATACTTTTTCACAAACATTTGATTTTTTGTGAACCTAGACTCTATTAAGAAGATAGGCAGGTCTAGATATGCCTTTTTTTTTTTCAGTTGTCATAGAAGAACACTGCATGACTTATATTGTCAGTGAGATCAGGATATGGTTATGTCTTCATTTATTTTGCTTTTGAAATTCTGTGAGTAAACAGCAGCTTAGTTTCTTATCACTAAATAAATATGATGTACATCATGGTTATGGTTGAGCTAGAATTGTTTGTATAAAATACACAAAACATCAATAAAAAACAACAAGGATAGAGAATATATCTTTTTAAATGGTGCCTGGGCTCCTTGTTAGACTTGAACATTTTTTTTTTTCTACAAAAGAATTATGGTTTTTACTTGGAAACTGTCATGGTTTTCTTCTGCAATAGAGACTCTTGTTCCTTCCCACTCAGCAAAATGTATTTGTCTTTAAGCACAGCCCCAATTTAAGTTAAATCAAAATACAAGTTCCTGCACTTTTTGAGGGCTTATTTGATACAAGGCATTTACCCTGCAGCAGTGTCTTTTTTCAAACAGGCAAATTAAAGATTTAAATTATGACCTCTATGTCCAAAAGCATTTGTATTCAGCACTTCACAGTCTCAGCACTTCACGGAAAACTAGACAGCTCCTATGCTTAAAACCCTTGTGTAAACACATAGGTTACTGCTTCCCTGTCTCTTGCACAGCCCAATACACACAGGCACACCTATCCATTATAATATGAAATAAACTGAAAAAAAACCAACAGTGCATTTTTCAACAAGTAAATATTTTTATTGCATTACATTTCAATACATTATCTTTATCTAAGTCCACCTTTTAAAATAAATATTTTTAAAGCTCAATAAGGAAAATGACTTACTCTACATAAATTATGACAGTATGCCATACAGGTAAGACATAAAATGTCTAAGCCTCTTCAGAACATTACTGCTCTTCTACATCTTGTATATAAATACCAAAAAGTGAAGAACACATTTAACTAAAAAAATCTTAGAAACAACAAAAAAATACCCTAAATAAGCTAAGCAGCCACACAACCCTGCAAGTTCATGGAAATTCCTCAACTAGTAAGCAGTGAGTAGCCTAARCTCTCTGTGTTTTCATTGCACAGCAATTCTGGATATTGCATTGGAAAGGTTAGGAAGTTATAGGGGGGAAAAAAAGACTTAGCAAAGCATTCTGAGCCCAGGGCTCATTTAAGCACCTGAGACAACACATTTAGCCTGTTGGCACTTTAGTGTGCTTGCTATAATCAGCTGTTATTTTGGTTATTCATGACTTATAATAAAAACTGTGCTAGAATCCCAATGAAGCATGTACTGGTAATCAAATGAATCACTCACTTCAGCTGAGTCAATAAATACATACATAAAAATAGGTAATAATAAATACAAAAGGAGAGGAGAGGTGCAAAGGTAGAACAGCTGTCTACAAGCTAATGGAAAGCAGAGACTTTGCCAATTAACTCCTTCCAGCATCCATTTCTTAGTATCTTCTTGCAAATACAGGTAGCTTCTTTAGAGTTGTTTCGTCTTCCCTCAAAGCTGCTTATCTGAACTGCAACAGACAGAATTCACAGCGCATTTAAAGCAAATTAGAAAACCTTTTCCTAAGGCTTTTTTATATGCCCCAGTTACCCGAGACCTTTTACAAGCTCCATTGGAGATGCATCTTGTGCAAAAGACAGTAGTGATGGTAACATTATGGCACTGGCTTTGTGTACAAGGCAGAGACTGCACTGGCTCTTGTGAGTGCAGGTGGATTCACATGTGATCAGGCATTTGATGTGGATGCTCTAGCTGACCTTCTGGACTTTCTCTCYACAGAAAAAGGAGCCAGATCTTGGGGCAGGGGATGGCATAACCAATCAGAACTCCCACCGGGGTCAGCGGTGGGATGCAGCTTGTTGTTCCAGTGCAGTGACTGGAATCCAGCCTATTGCTAAGCTCAGCCTCCCAAAGACTAACTTGTTTAGAGCAGGCTGCTTCAGAGCTTGAGTCCCCATCYCCGAGAGCAGTCCCAGTGCTGGCCCGTGGCAAGTACCTGTTGAGGATCTTGGTGACGATGCGCTGGACCCAGGGCGCCGAGGGGTTCAGGCAAACCATCAGTCCCTGCTTTGTCTTCGCTCTGGGGCAAACAGAGGGAGGCAATGAGGGGAAGCATCAAGGCAGGAGCAGGGACAGGGATGGGAACGGGGATGGAATCGAGGCACTCACATCACTTCTGGCACGGCGCAGTGCGGCCCCTCAGGGATGAGCTCCACGCTGGCCAGGCGCCGCGGCGGGATCACCTCGCTCACGGTGCGCACGCAGCGGCAGCGCAGCTCCCCGGCGAGTGGAGCACCTAGGGGAGGCAGAGCCTGAGCCTCCTCGTGTCCCYGCTGCCCCCCAGCCCTCAGCACCCCCTGCMACCCCCCGGCTCCGCAGGGCACAGCTYGTGTGTGCCGCTCTTACCCCRGCAGAGTGCAGTGCAGGCAGCCAGGAGGAGGAGGAGGGAGAGGTGCGGGCTCATGGCTGGTGCAGGCTGGCACTGGAGGTACTCTGGGAGCTGCATGTGCAGTCTCACCGCCCATCAGGGCTTTTATCCCCTGGTCGGGAGCTGTCAGGCAAGAGAAATGTGATTCACACGTGTCATGCATCTTTCACTCCTCCCTGCACATCCTTGGGTGGCTTCTGCTCACTCACTCTCCTTCCTGTGTCCTGACAGGTCTGCACGGCATGGCAGGGAATGTAACAGCCTCCAGAACCCACCTACCCGGCCCTTTGCAGCAGATAAACCCACTCCCAGGGCAGCAACGGGATAAATGTCCCCCCGAGTGTTAAGCGAGGATGTACAAAGGTGCAAACATGTGGGGAACGGGCTGTGGGGTCAGTTCCTGTCCCCATCCACTATCCTTGCTCCAGTGCTCCTGGATGGATGAGTCTGGACAATCTGTTCCACTTATCAGGGAGCCCATCAGTGTCACCCGGAGATACAAACTCATGCAGGAGTGGAATGAGTTTTAGACACTAGATTTCAGGGATTAAGTTAATCCAAATGCAGGTCCTCTTAAAATTCTTAAGTTTGCAAGATTCTAGTGGAGACGGAGGTATAAAATGCCACTTTTCTTGGGCATCTGGGGATATATTCGCATTTAATTTTTGTGCAGGGGTCTCTTCCAAATGCACAATAATTTAATTGTTGATTTAGTTTGTAGCTGCAAAGTGAAGAATTCTGAATACTATGTGGAAATGGTGGCAGGTGTTCTCAGTCATGTGCAAAGGAAAGATGTCAAGGCTCAAATTCTGCTAGAGATTCGTGGGATGAATATGAGGAGCAGTTTACAGTCCGAAGGTGGCACAGCAATCTCCTCCCCCTCTTTCCTAGTCTTTGGAGTCTATACATGGCTTCATTTCAGTTCTCTGGTTCTTCCTTGAATTGCTGTTGTCCTTTCTCTCACCATGTAGAGTGATGAACAAATTTCCTCTAAAATCTTTTTGAAGATTTAGTAGTTCAATATGTTTCTTTAACCTCAGCAGCAATAGACACTTCATTTCTTTTAGGTAGGGTGGGAGGAGGTGACCTCTCAGACTTTTATTACTGGCATGTCTGCAAACTCACAAACCAATTCTTTAATAGCAAAATATTCCCAGAAGAGGGAAGATGAGAACAGAGAACACTGTTCTCTGTAACTTTATACTTCATGCAGACCAGTTTGCCTGCCTTGAATTAGCTAGCTGCCTTTTCTTGTTTTGGAGCTGGATATGAACTCACTGTTCTCCTGCGCCCTGCTTCACTTTCCTCTTGGGAAAGAACTAATCATCTTGTGTATTGCAAATGGCCAGATTCAGGTATTATGGGAGTGCAGTTTTCCAACTCAGCTTTCCTGTGTGGCTCTTTTCCTTGGTTATGTGCATTACAGACTAGCAGTCCTAGTGGCTCTAGGTCCATCAGATATACAAACCGTGATGCACTTGAATATTCCGTGCTCTGACCATACTATAGGAAGTTACAGAAGTGCTTAATTACCCATGCCATGCAAATCTTGCAAATGTGGGGTTGTGCAGTCCTCTGCAAAGTGCCTCCTCTCACTCTCTGTCTACAAAAGGGCAGGGAGCAAACTGGTAATTTCTGCTGGTCTGCAGGAGCCTTGCTTTCTGAAAGGATTATGGGATCTAGCGCAAGTGATAAGCACTTCTAAGCAGTGGGCTACATGGCAGCCAGGACACTAAAACTCAGCTACAACCCTGCGTGATCTTGTAGAACTCTCTTACAAAGTAACTTCTATCCAGAAGACAAGGATTTCATACTGACATCCTCTTTCCCCAATATTAAGAATAGAAACTGAAGCGATATGTTAGGTGTCCCAGACGATAAGAGACCATAAATACCATAAATTGTAGTTTCTGTGTGAATTGTTTTCTGACATTCTTTTTTTTCTTCCTGTGTTTCAGGTATTTGGCAAGGAAAAAAATAAACTAACATTTCCTGTCTTGGGACTGTTTATAAAAGATGGCATTATATGCTGGCTTTTGTTTATTTGGGGAAATCTTTCTTATAGTATCAGTTTGTTTTTCTTTTTCAACAATGTTCTTCACAAACAGGCTTTCTGGTTTGGAAAGCACCAGCTCGACAGCAGCCTGGTTCTGAACTCGGTCCTTCTTCCGCTGAAGCTGGAGGCAAAGCCCTCCTGGGCTTCAGGGGCAGCAAACCTGTTGCGTGAAATCTGCATCGCATTGACGTCAATGGCAGGACTTCCAATGACACAGGTCAAGCCGCCTTTACATCACTGACTTGGGTGCCATTTTAAATAGACAAGAGATTTAAGGACAATAGTGGCTGATCTTCTTACCCCTGTATTGGGTGATTGACTGTGGGCAGCAGTGACTAGCAGAGCTGCTAGGAAGTCACTGTAGACAGTATAGTAAGGACCCATTTCTCTGTTAGAGATGCCAGTGCCTTGTGTCACACAGAAATTTCATTAGGATAAGTACTTCAGTCTTAAGGAAAGCTTTTAACAGAAATTTATATCCAGGAAAAAGATATTGCAGAATTCATTGTTAGATCAGTTTGGTCACGAAACAGGCAAATTGTAAAGGAGCAGTGTATATGGTGAGAATATCTTCAATGTGCCTTTTTTCCTTTTGGTTTCAAGTTGTCATCTCTAACAGTGTGCTCTTAATAACATTACTTTCCTTTGCCTTCTCCAATGTCTGGAAAGCTAATTTCTAGTCTTTCTCATCTCCAGTGGGAGATTTCATAAAAACAAACCAAAAGGGCCTAAAACTGCACTGCAGAAATTCACTGCAGAAAGAAGCTCTGCGATTGCTTCACCACACTAAAAAGGAAATGTTCCTCAGTGACCAAATGTGGCTTGTTGACAAATGTGTAACATCTGCAGTACTTCTGAGGCTGAAGAAGCCTATTCGCTCAGTCATTTTCCTGTGGTGTAATTAAGCATTTCATCTGACGTTCACGAGAACATTTATGATGGTCTAAAATGTCTTAATCCTCTGACATATCAAAGTCCTCAAGCCCTGGCCTGAACTTCAGTCCACCTTTGGGAATGTCATGTGCAAATAGCTGCTGTATGAATTGAATGAGCAGAAACATGAGATATCTCGAAACTCGAAAAAATGACTCATCTGCCCAGGACTATTGCTCAGGTACTTCTTTTTTCAGCTGTATAAGACCAACCCACCACGTTTGGCCCTCCAGGATATGCTAAAAGAAATATTACCAGCAACATATTTTAGAAAAAATGAGATGGTGAAAAATTATTGCAGGAGCATCATTCATTCTGACTGTCCCTGTGAAACAAAAACACCTTGTGCGGTTTACAGTGGTGCTCATAACATCTTTGAAACATTCTGTTTTGCTAGAACTGACAAAACAATCTTTAAAACACATAATAAATACATAACTCGGGATCATCCTGAAAGAATGAATTGTTTGAAGGATCATGTCCGCATCACTCTGTGCAATAAGCTGCCTTTTCCAAATGGGATTAGTCCAACATCCTGGCCAGATTTTTCTGGCTATCAGGAGATCCCACTCCCTTTTCTGATTGACACATCCAGTGGGTAATACTTGGTCACTATTTGCTGATGAGGTATAGGAGAGGCTGACTGGTCCACTGGCTGTTAGCATGATGAAAGGTGTAGGTATGTTACTCTCTTGCTGGGTGACTCCTGGAAGCAGGGAAAAGAAAGAGGCAGATCAGATACTTTACTCATACCACTAAATATGAATCAGGGAAGCTCAAGGAGGAGTAAGTTTAAAAGCATTTATCTGTGAGGAGGTTAGTGTGTCAAAAGGTCTATCTGATGACACAAAGAGAACAAAAATACATATTGTGACATAAGGAAAATGTGCAATCAGTGCAGCTCATCCTGCCACTTTGCACGGATGATAGGACAGTTCTTCTTTTAGGATATTTGAAGAAGGCCCAGCAATGCTAAGTTCTTCCTAGATGTTGGGGAGTCGTAGACCTTTACCTGTTCCCACCAAGTGAATATGATTGCTATGGACAATTAAGATGCTTTGAGCAAACAAGTAGCAGGACTAATGAAACCTGATTTTCTATGATTTTATGGTTTGTGATTGGTTTCTTTGATGTCTAATTATGTACACATGCCAACCAAAGAACAAGTTGCAAATTCGTGTGGTTAAAGCATCTGTAACTTCTCTCTCTGTACTATAGTTTCTCTAGTGTGTTAGTAGAATATGGTTTATGCTTCAGTCTTTTCTTTAGTGTGAGCACAATTGGAATTTCTACTGCTGCCCATAGACTTTCAGAAAACTTGAAGAAAATTCAGATCTTTCATCCTAGTACTTTGAAAAAAGCCAACATTCAGAAGTTGTCAGAGAGGAATACAAAACCATCCAGGCAGTTTCATTGTATAATAAGCCTTATTTCCTAAGAAAACCAGGCTGGAGACTGCTAAACAGATGTGGAATTGGATTTCAGTAATGTCCTGCTCCCAGGCAGTCATCCAAATATATTAGTCAGATTGGCAAATAGATGTGCAGACRAAAAATCTCAGATGTCCACAGCAGCCACAGACTCATAGCAAGAGTAGTGTGAAAAGAGGCAACAGACCCCCCAAAGYGAGCATCTCTCTCAGGAACTTTCAGATCTATACATAATTCTGCAGAATGGAGGAGCATACCTTTCTTTCCTGCTGCTGCACGAATCTGCCCAGCGGAATGGCCACACAGCCTGATTTGGACTAAGGTGGTGTCTGGGTATCCTGAACAGGAAAAGGAGCTTCTGCCCTAAGCACTATAAAAACACAGGCCAAAGGGATCCTTCTTGCCCCACTTCTTGCACAGTTCAATCGCCCCGAGCAGCTACATAAAGTGTAGCCACTTGGGAAAGGCAGTGCCACTGTTGCCCACAGCAGGCCCTGGGCTACATACACCCAAGTCAGACTGCACGTCTGCCGGGTGGATTTTATGGAAACAGTTAGACAGTTTGCAAAGCATGTCCCRTAAGCGCTTCAATTTCCCTGCTCCAATAGTTTCACTTTCCTTCCAGTGCTGATCGTGTTTGTTATAGAGGCTGGAAATTTGTTTAGTGAAACTATCCCAAACTATCACAGCTACTGTGTGAGCAGTACCTAGTTAGGAGAGAGGCACAAATTAGCACCAGGCTAATCAGGGCTGTAATATCGTCATCTCCTCTGCTTTACTCRGAGTCAGCCACCTCTTGCCTCTTGGTACGTCTTCATGAAAGATGTGCTAAAAATATAGTGAAAAGAGCAATGTTGCTATTTGAGGTAGGCAAAATAGTAGCATGTTYGTAGACAGAAAGAAGAGCCTCTTAAGTTTGAGACATCTGAGATAGACACACAGCTTCACACTTAAACAAGTCCAAGTCCATTATCAGTGATGAAGCTCAGTTATCTGACCTGCCTGCAGGGCAGACCAGTGTCCTGGCTTTGCTCATCCCTAAACATTTCACAGATGCTCACTTGCCCTTGGCCTACAGGCAATCTACAAAGAGACTGCACGGCAGGCTGTGAAGCTAGTGCTACCTCTTCAAGCAGCAGCACTATCTCGCTTTAAGTACAGCAAAGGGTTGTCAAGCTAACCTCTTTCCTCAGAACCTTGCCAAACAAATGGTTAAGCTCTTTTGCCTTGTGAAATCCTCCTTTCAAAAGGACTCAGAAATTCACACAGAAACTGAAGCTGCTGTGCTGGAAAGAGTTACTCCTTTGCTCCCATCAGTATGGTCTCAAATTGTATTTCCCACTTCGAGATCACTGCAGTACATAGCCCTGGTGCTTTTGTGTTGGTTTCTCACATCATTCAGTTCACCCTGATCAGGACCAAACACAGCAGGATCTGTCATGGTGTTTGCCTCCAGGACTCCCATTAGGGTGAAGAAACAGTCAGGCTCGCAGTACTGAGGGTGGTGAAAGTGGAGTGATGGGTGCACCCTGCAAGCCATTAGCCTCACTGACAAGAACTGATGTTGCAAGATGGGTTAGTAAATGGAAACAGACCCTAGGCCTATTTTACTCGGTATTTATTTAAAAAACAAACAAAGAAAACAAAACAAACAAAAAGCAAAACCACATGTAAGTAAGACTAAAAGAAACTCCCTTAGTTAAAAAAATATGGTCATTTAATTAATTTATTTATTATTCTGAATTTAAAATGTTGCAGTAATATATCTAATATATAGTTGTACATATTGTATAAGCAAGAGGGTTTATTTGACATCTTAGAAAGATTACTGTGAAAAGTTTAATGAAAATTGCATGGTCTAACCATGATGACATTTAATTACTAGCACTTACAGTGGTTTATATTTCCCCTTCTTTTTAAATTGCTGCTAGACATAAATATGAAGAGCGGGGAAAGTTGCATGTATACAATTCCAATCATGAATATGGACTATTATAAATAAACATCAGTATCACAGTGTTTTCTCTTACATAAAAATCATGACATTATGCCATACAAAAATAAAAAAGACATAAGATGTCTAAGGCTACAAGGAGCAAAACTCATCTGCTCYGTGAAAATTCAAACCCTAGAGGCAACCAGTGCTGTGCATGCCAGRGTGCGTGACAGGAACATGATGTGCAGGGCGAGCTGCACTACAGGCATCCCTGCTTACATGTGAATTATGTCCCTCTGTAAGGATGCAGCACAGGAATGGATTTCTCTGCTGATGCAGGAGCCCCATCAGTCGTTCACTGACACTGGAGCCCAGGCTGAGATATCCCAGTGAGAGAATTCAGAACAACCCCAGTGTCTTCCCCGCTTCACTTCTCYGCAAGTTCATACTTGCTACATTAATGTGACCCATTAAATTGTGCTTTTGAGAAGATCTCTCAACTAGAAATAGATCTTACATTGTTCTTAAAATATTTTTAAAAACGCAACTGGTTATTGTTACATTAGATAAATAGAGCGAACTCAAATGTAGTGTAGATTAGAGAAGAAATTCTCTTGTTCCTTCAGTCCCAGGGTCAGATAGTCATCTTCTTCCCAGGCAGTTTCCTTTCCCCACTTCAGTTCTTCACTACTCAGCTGAAAGCAGAAACCAGAGAGCACAGATCTCACCACCTATGCCCCTCAAGCTGGTTTTCAGTGAGGGTAAGGGGCAACCCTCTCCCCAGCTCTGCTGAGAGCTGCTGCCAGGCACAGGCTCCCAGTGCCGGCCCATGGCAGGTACCTGTTGAGGATCTTGGTGACGATGCGCTGGACCCAGGGCGCCGAGGGGTTCAGGCAGACCATCATTCCCTGCTTCGTTGTTGCTCTGGGGCAAACAGAGGAAGGCAATGAGGGGAAGCATCAAGGCAGGAGCAGGGACAGGGATGGGAACGGGGATGGAATCGAGGCACTCACATCACTTCTGGCACGGCGCAGTGCGGCCCCTCAGGGATGAGCTCCACGCTGGCCAGGCGCCGCGGCGGGATCACCTCGCTCACGGTGCGCACGCAGCGGCAGCGCAGCTCCCCGGCGAGTGGAGCACCTAGGGGAGGCAGAGCCTGAGCCTCCTCGTGTCCCCGCTGCCCCCCAGCCCTCAGCACCCCCTGCAACCCCCCGGCTCCGCAGGGCACAGCTYGTGTGTGCCRCTCTTACCCCRGCAGAGTGCAGTGCAGGCAGCCAGGAGGAGGAGGAGGGAGAGGTGCGGGCTCATGGCTGGTGCAGGCTGGCGCTGGAGGCGCTCTGGGAGCTGCATGTGCAGTCTCACCGCCCATCAGGGCTTTTATCCCCTGGTCGGGAGCTGTTGGGGAATTTCCCATGCGCAGCATGGGGCAAGGCAGCCCCGCCTGGCCTGAGGTCCATGAGGCTGCAGGCGGCCAGGTGGGGCTCCCCGCAGCCCGGCGGGCCTGAGATCTCGCTGGCCTCTTTCCGGCTTTTGGGGCTGTGCCCGATAGGAGAGGGAAGGGGAGCAGCATCCTTTCCTGCTCCTTGGCGCCCCAAGAGCCTCCCTGAAAAGCTGCCTTTTTGGTGCGATGCAGGGCACTGCACAACCCCGAGGATCCTCAGCATCTGCATGGGACCTCGAGGATATTCACACCATATCCTGGAAGGGAATGAGCCTGGATCTCTTTTGTAACCATGTTTGCAGGGGCCCTGTTTGGTTTCAATTAGGCTGGGTGCAGGGAGCTAAGCCARAGGAGGATTTGGGCTCTGGAGCCTGTCTTGCTGGCTAAGCCCTTGCAACCGCATGCTCTCATTCAGTGGGAATGCTTTCCCTGCGCACCCCTTTCTGCATCTGGCTTTTGATAGGCAGCAGTATGTCTTCACTTCATCTCGAAGTCGTGAAAAGTTCAGTGCCTCAACTCCACTCTTAGAAGCCACACAGAACATGTGGATCGCTCTGCCTTCATGAYAGTCAATCCATTTTGCTAGTTAAGCTTTGCAGAAAGCACCAAAAAAGCACTTTTCTAAGACCTTTTCCATATAACTAGATTTTTTCAGAGAGACTTATTTCCTCATGGGTTTAATTCAGTTAAAATCAAAACATTTTATTTTTCTTTGGTATGAAATACAATTTTGTATTTTCTTTTTACCAGTTGATTTCTTCTCTTTTCCCAAGATCCTCGTTAAAATGAGAGTTCATTAAAGCAGACAGACTGCTGTGGTGTTTGTCCAGTACCTTGCACAGCCCTAGAGCTTCTGTGTCAATACTTTGGTCCTTTTGATTTGTGAAATACTGATGACTATTGAGGAATTGAAGATTTGCAAGCAGTTTTCTAAATTTCCCTCCTCTTGAACTTTCTCCCTCTTATTCGCTTAGCAAATATTTCTTTGATGTGGAATATATATCTCAAACTGTAAGAACTAATGCAAGATCAGATAAAAATAGCTTTCGGTGAAGCTTTTACGGTTTGTGAAAAAGAGATGAGTTCATGATTTAAAATGACTCCAGCCCAAGCCTGCTACAGTCACTATTTTGAACTGGCTTGACTTGATTTTCAGGGGAAAATGGATATAGTTTCCTTACAAGAAGCCTCTTGACACAGAGGTAACTTCTTACACTTAAAGTATGTGGGTTATGCATACTCTTTTTTTAAGAGAAAAACCAAGTAATCATTGTATTGTAAGGAGAGTCACAGGGCAGAACAAGAATTAACTGTAGGTAAAACTGTATTGACAGGCATGCTAGCATGGAAAGCAATTTAAGATGAATTTAAAATTGCAGAAGATCACAGTACAACAATCCCATTAAAAGATTTACTGTGTAAAAACAAAACCAAGCTCAGGACCCAAATGGTACTGAGAGGGTCTCATTCCTGAGTCCCATCCTGTTCAGTGATTAGACAGCTCCTATGGCTGCTGGCTCAGGAGTCCCTTGGGAGTTCATCGGCGCAGGAAGAGAATATGTCACAAGCAAGTGGTGATTGCTCCACGCAATCAGGAAATATCGAATGACTAACTTGCACCCCATTCCAGTTGCCGTGTGCTAATGTCATCCTTTCAAGCTGTTGGTGTTCAGCGTGTTTTTAAAAGGAAATTACATGATAAAACTGTCTTTCTGCCTGCTCTGTCATTGCCCTCCTACCCTCAGCTCCAGCACAGTTTGTATCTTTAGACCATCTTCAGAATGATTTGACAAAAAGCTGTGAGTCTGAAGGATACAAATTTCCTTCAGGTTTGTGGAGAGTCAATGGTGGGCAGAGGGACAGAGAACAAAACCAGCATTGCCAAAGCAAAACCCGCAGCACAAGCTGTGTTGTCTGTCTGACTTGCCAGCTGCTGATCCATGTGTTCCTGCCCGACAGTTACTGCATAGCTTGGAGCTGGCCAAGTCCTGTGCTGCCTCTTGTCCAGCTTATGAACTGAAGGTGGAAAAAAGAATTCCTCCCAAATATTGGGGAAATATGAGGTGGCTTACATGACCRTTGAGAGAAATGGAAATGTTCCATGAACAGAAGCTATCAACATAGAGACCTTGAGGTMTCTTGGGGGACAAAGATTTTGGGAGCCTCCAGAGGGTATTATGGTGGGGATAATAGAGGATGCATTTATTTTTAAACTAGGGCCTATTTCCTTCTTGTGAGTCATATCGTGTCATCTGTATTTTCTGCTTGCTCATTATAAATGAATTAATTTAACTAGTTATTTAGTTAATTGCAATTTTAATGAATATTCCACTGATGTATACCTGAAAGTGTGCATAAAGTAAATGCAGCATATAAGTGGCTTGAGGCTTTGAGATAAAGCCTTGCAGTAGAGGCGCCCTTTCAGACTCTGCTTTTGCAGCTTGAATGACTCTTCTAAGTAGTCTTTATATGAGCAGTAGTCCCCAGGAGGTAGAGTTGTATGTGTTTTCCTGAAATGAAAAAAATCAGAGCCATTGATAGTGGTGGGTGCTAGGGAGCTATGGAGAGGGAGGTGGCATTTTCTCCTTGAAAAGTGGAGATATTACTAAAGGAAATGGTAAGAAATAGAGCTGCTAAGAGCAGGCAATAGCCCTTGCAAGCTCAGCAGCAAATCTGAAATTTAAGCTGTGCTTTTCCCAGGAAGCAGGATCTGCCCAGGAGCAGCAAACTGAGGCAATAGATAGGATGGTGCCCAGAGAAGCCAGTGCAGGTTGTTGAAGGTGACGTCAGAAGGATTACTGCTCTGAATCAATGCAGAGAGCCCATCTGTTGGTTAAGCAATTGCCATTTGTACATACACAGTGATACCACATATTATTCTTGGACAGTACACGTGAGTAAGGACAGTTTGCGTGGTGATGCTTGGCTTTATGCTGCAATGACTGTTCACAAAGCCTGAATGGGCAGAGCAACTTCGTGGTGATTACTGCTGGGGAAATTCCAGAAATCTGTGGGGTCTGAAGTGTGAGGCTGCTCTGCACACACAACAGCAGTCAGCTACGCAGGAGAGGCCTGGGCCAAAATTAGCAGAAGCCAAAGAGGCCACAAACATGCCGACTTTGGGTGTTGGTACTCATGCAAGCAGGCCTGGCATGCATGAAATGGAGACCTCTGGGACTATCTCAGAAGCTAAGCCCATCTGAATGAACATTTTATCTGGAGACTTTCCCATCACCTCTTGTATGTGAGTGTGTGTGTGTGTGTGTGTGTGTGTGTGTGTGTGGAGGGGCACAATCTTCAGTCAAAGTGACTTCAACAAACATGCTAAGCTTTACATGAGCTCACTTTGATTCTCTTTTTTTTCTTTCTGCTCCCTTCCTTCACCACCTTTGACAGTTTTACCCACTGTCTTTAGTGCTTGCTGTTTGTAACATAGCTATGACAGAACTCCCTGAAGCCTGTGTATTGCCTAGCGCTCAGGAGAGATAGCTGGTTTTACCATCTATCCTGTATCACTGCAGCTGTGGTCCTACAATGCAAGTTACTGGCCTTAGCTCAAGTATTTCTGTAGGAGTCGCTGTTTGAAATCCCTAGCCAATGTCTGATCCTCAGCATCCTTAGCATGGGCTTATGGGCTACATGGAAAACTTTCCCAACTTAGCCAGTCTTTAAGGAAATACATGCAGAGTGTTACTAGCCACATAACTTAACCATCTTCCAGTTAGCCAGCTGTTAATTCTTTAAACACAGAAAGTGATGCCATTGCCTTGTTGTACACGACGGCTGATGGCCTTTCCRCAGCAAGCATTTGCTTTGGCATCTACAGTGAACGCACTTGTTCCCTGGTGGCAAGCTCACAAGGGCTAAAAACCAGTTGGACAAGACACATGCTGCTTTCAATTCAGCAAGCGAGGCCTTCCTGATTTGCACAAAGAGGAGCTTGGGAGATATGTCACACATGTATTTCTTAGGTCAGCTTTTTAAAATCACCTTGAAACCTCTTGACATGGACAATCTCAGAATAAGCAGGGATGTTTCCCAGCTTGCCAGGCATTGCCTCCTATACTTTGAGATATGTCAAACTAAACTACCTACAAATCCCTGCAGATGGAGGACACAGGCTGATGATATCTCTTATCATCTTTTTTGAACTGTGTTTATATTCAGTAGTAGTACTATGATGATATCCCCTTCTAATCCTCCTGTGAATCAGGCTCTGTGATGAAGTTTAAACACATAATAATCTTTGCTCCCAGAGAGCCACTGCTGTGGCTTTTGAGGCTTCTGGGGAGATTTGAATTTTGGCTACTGGATTTTGTAACCACACTTCAACATCATCCTATAAATCTGTGAAAATTATATTTTATATCTATTTTGAATCTGTCAGATGTTTTAGTTCCTTGAATTTGCTAGACTGAACTGTTCCCAGCTCATTTTCCTTTGTAAATGATGCCCAAATGTGCAAGAAATACAAATGTCCTGTCACTCAACTTATGTAGCAAAGCATCTCAGCTTTTGACATCTTAGCATGTGRCATAACTGTTGTGTACTCATGTTTCTAGAATGCCTTTTGGGATATTAACATTTGCATTCAAAARAGATGAGCTCTAGCAAGCAATGCTCAGCTTTTTCTTCCCTGTCTTCCTGAATCTTCATTTATTTTCAAAAATCTGAAGGCCTTAGCTTTTTTCTCCTCAGCAGTTTGAGATTTTCCTTGACCTGTGCTCAGTGGTGGAAATGAGAGCATGCACAAACATATTGCATACTTAATAACTGCAAAGGAATGTATTTGCATTACCAAGGCATTAAGTTAACAAACATAAAAGGCTGTTTTTGATATCAATYCCTTCACTAATCATTTCTCCAT